CGCTTTATGAACTAACATCTCTTCACAAGCTCAATGCTGAGAGTTAAGTGTGTGTGAAAGCCAACTTACAACAATCTTGTTGGGAGCACAAGGTTCTTTTCTGTTGGAAACTTCACTACTTACATATATATGGGAAGTTACAGACTCCAACTATGTATTAGAGTGGAAAATGCAGGAATTACATAACGGCACTAGGAAACAGACTGAGAAACCAGAATATGTGTTTCTCCTGCAGCACTTTCTTTTGTGCTCACTGAGCAAACTTCTCTCCACATGCTCAATTCTGAGCATATATGTATATATATATATATACACAATGTATATACACAATATATATATATATATATATATATATATATATATATATATATATGGAAAGGCAAAAACTCCAACAGTGTTTTACAGTGAAAAGTGCAGGAACTTCATATCGGAACAACAAAACAAACTAAGAAACCAGAGAAATTATTTCCCTGGTATCCCGTTCTCTTTGTGCTCTATGAATGAACGTCTCTACACATGCTAATTTCTGACAGTTAAGTGTGTGTCAAAGACTTCCTTCAAGTAGTTTGTTGGGAACACAAGTCTTTCTTCTGTTGGAAAATTCACTACATACATTATATGAAGAGATACGAACTCCAGCTCTGTATTAGAGTGAAAATTGCATGAACTTCATACTAGCCCTAGGATACACTCTCAGAAACAAGAGTAGGTGTTTCACTGCAACACTATTTTGTGCTAAATGAACAAACTACTCTCCACATGCTCAGCTCTGAGATATATCTACGTGCAAAAGCTGTACTTTTCCTAGCTTCTTGGGAAAACAAATTATCTTTTAAGATTCAAAATCCACTACATATTTATATATGGAAAGGAAATAACTCCAACACGATTTTTCAGTGTAAACTAGAGGAACTTCATACCAGCACAAGGAAACACTGAGAAGCCAGAGAAATTGTTTCCCTGGAATCCAGTACCCTTAGTGCTCTTTGAACGAACGTCTCTCCACATGTTCAGTGCTGAGAGTTAAGTGTGCGAGAAAGCCGTCCTTCACCTATCTTGTTGGGAACACAAGGTTATTTTCAGTTAGAAACCACACTGCATATATATATATGGGGAGTTACATAGTCCAACTCTATATTACACTGAAAACTGCAGGAACTTAATAACAAACTTAGGCAACAGACAGTGAAACCAGAGTATGTGTTTCTCATGCAACACTTTTTTTGTGCTAAATGAACAAACATCTCTGCACATGCTCAGTTTGGAGATATATTTCTGTGTGAAAGCTTTCCTTTACCCAGCTTGTTGGGAACACAAAGTTTCTTTTAAATTTCTAATTCCTCTACATTTATATATATGGAAAGTTAATAACTCCAACATGGTTCTACAGTGAAATCTGCAGGAACTTCAAACCGGCTGTAGGAAACAGACTGAGAAACCAGAGAAATTGTTTCCCTGGTATCCCGTTCCCTTTGCACTCTATAAATGAACATCTCTCCACATGCTCAGTGCTAAGGGTTAATTGTGTGTGAAAGCCGTATTTCACAAAGCTTGTTTGGAACACAAGGTTCTTTTCAGTTGGAAACTTCACTACAAAAAAATATATTGGGAGTTACTGACTCCAACTCTGTATTAGAGTGAAAAATGCAGGAACTTCATACCGACACTAGGAAAAAGACTGAGAAATGATAGTATGTGTTTCTATTGTAACACTTTTTTTTGTGCTAACAGAGTAAACTACACTCCACATGCTCAGTTCTTTGATATGTCTGTGTGTGAAAGCCATCCTTTTCATAGCTTGTTGAGAATACAAAGTTTCTTTAAAGTTTCAAAATCCACTACGTATATATGTATGGAAAGGTAATAACTTCAACACAGTTTTACAGTGAAAAGCGCAGGAACTTCATTCCAGTACTAGGAAACAGACTGAGAAACCAGAGAAATTGTTTCCCTGGAATCTTGTTCACTTTGTGCTCTATGAACGAACATCTCTGTACATGCTCAGCGGTGACACTTAAGTGTGAGTGAAAGCCGTTCTTCTCCTTGCTTGTTGGGAACACAATGTTTCTTTCAACTTTCAAAATCCACTACATATATATGCATGGAAAAATAATAACTCCAACATGGTTTTACAGTGAAAACTGCAGGAATTTCATACCGACACTAGGAAACAGACTGAGAAACCAGAGAAGTTAATTCCCTAGAATCCCGTTCCCTTTGTGCTCTACGAACGAAAGTCTCTCCACATGCTCAGTGCTGAAAGTTAAATGTGTGTGAAAGCCGTACTTCACCTAGATGATTGGGAACACAACTTTCTTTTCAGCTAGATACTTCACTTCCTTATATATATGTGGATTCACTGACTCGAACTCTGTATTACAGTGAAAATGGCAGGAAATTTATTCTGGCACTAGGAAACAGACTGAGAAACCAGATTATGTGTTTATCCTGGAACACTGTCTTTTGTACTAAATGAACAAACTTCCCTCCACATGCTCAGTTCTGAGATATATCTATGTGTGAAAGCCGCACTTAACCTAGCTTGTTGGGAATACAAAATATATTTTATGTTTCAAAATCCACTACATATATATATATGGAAAGGTAATAAGTCCAACATTGTTTTATAGTGAAACTGTAGGAACTTCATACCGGCACTAGGAAACAGACTGAGAAACCAGAGAAATTGTTTCCCTTGAATCCCGTTCCTTTGTGCTCTATGAACGAACATCTCTCGACATGCTCAGTGCTGAAAGTTAAGTGTGTGTGAATGCCGTCCTTCACCTAGCTTGTTGGGAACACAAGGTTCTTTTCAGTTGGAAACTTCACTACATACATATATATGGGGTGTTACAGACTTCAACTCTGTATTACAGTGAAAACTGCAGGAACTTTAAACCGGCACTTGGAAACAGACTGAGAAACCATAGTATGTGTTTCTATTGCAACACTTTCTTTCTGCCTACTGAGCAAACTCTTCACCACATACTCAGTTCTGAGATATATGTGTGTGTGAAAGCCGTACTTTGCCTAGATTGTTGGGAACAGTACGTTTCTTTTAAGATTCAAATTCCACTACATAGATTTATATATGTAAGGCTGTATTCCAACACGGTTTTACAGTGAAAACTGCTGGAACTTCATATGGGCATGAGGAAACACTGAGAAACCAGAGAATATGTTTCCCTGGTATACCGTTCCCTTATTGCTCTATGAAAGAACGTCTCTCAACATGCTCACTGCTGAGAGTTAATTGTGTGTGAAAAGCCGTCCTTCACCTACCTTGTTGCAAACACAAGTTTCTTTTCAGTTTGAAACTTCACTACATACATATATATGGGGAGATACTTAGTCCAACTCTGTATTAAAGTGAAAACTGCAGGAACTTCATATCGACAGTAACAAACAGACTCAGAAAACAGAGTATGTGTTTCTCCTGCAACACTTTTTTTGTGCTAAATGAACAAACACTCTCCACATGCTCAGTTATGAGATATATCTGTGTGTGAATGCTTCCTTACCTAGCTTGTTGGGAACCTGAAATTTCTTATAATTTTTTAAATCCAGTAAGTATATATATATGTTGAAATATAATAACTCCAACACAGTTTTACAGTGCAAACTGTAGGAATTTCATACCGGTACTAGGAAACAGTCTGAGAATACAGAGAAATTTTTTACATGGTATACCATTACCTTTGTGCTCTGTGAACGAATGTCTCTCCACATGCTTAGTACTGTGAGTTAATTGTGTCTCAAAGCTTCTTTCATCTAGCTTGTTGGGAACACAAGGTTCTTTTAATTTGGAAACTTAACTACATACATATATATGGGGAGTTACTGACTCCAACTCAGTATTACAGTGAAAACTTCAGGAACTTCTTACCGGAAACAAGAAAAAGACTGAGAAATAGACTATGTTTTTTCCTGCAACACTTTCTTTTGTGATAAATGAACAATCTTCTCTTCACATGCTCAGTTCTGAGTTCTATCTGTGTGTGAAAGCTGTCCTTTGCATAGCTTGTTGGGAACACAAAGGATGTTTTAAATTTCATAATCCACTACATATTTTTAGGGAAAGGAGGCAACTCCAACATTTTTTACTGTGAAAACTGCAGGAATTTCATGCCAGCACTTGGAAACAGACTGAGAATCGAGAGAAATTGTTTCCCTGGAATCCCGTTCCCTTTGTGCTCTATGAACGAACATCTCTCCACAAGCTCAGTGCTGAGAGGTAAGTGTGTGTTAAAGCCGTTCTTCACTTTGTGTCTTGGGAACACATGGTTCTTTTCAGTTGAAAACTTCACTACATACATATATATGGGGATTTACAGTCTCCAACTCTGTATTACAGTGAAAACTGTAGGAACATCATACCGGCACTACAAATCAGACTGAGAAATCAGAGTATGTGTTTCTCCTACATCACATTGTGCTAAATGAACAAAATTCTCTCCACATGTTCAGTTCTGATATATATCTTTGTGTGAAAGCCGTCCTTTTCCTTGGTTGTTGGGAAAACTAAGTATCATTTCAGTTTCAAAACCCACTATATATATTTATATGGAAAGGTAATAACTCCAACACAGTTTTACAGTGTAAACTGCAGGAACTTCATACCAGCACTAGGAAACAGACTGAGAAACCAGAGTTTGTGTTTCTCTTGAAACACTTTTTTTGTGGTAAATGAACAAACTTCTCTCCACATGCTGAGTTCTGAGATATATCTCAGTGTGAAAGCTTTCCTTTACCCTGCTTGTTGGGGACACAAAGTTTCTTTTAAATTTCAAATACCTCTACATGTATATATATGGAAATGTAATAACTCCAACAAGTTTATACAGTGAAAACTGCAGAAAATTCATACCGGCACTAAGAAACTGACTGAGAAATCAGAGAAATTGTTTCCCTGGTTTTCAGTTCCCTTTGTGCTCTGTAAACGAACGTCTCTCCACATACTAAGTGCTGAGAGTTAAGTGTTTGTGAAAGTCATCCTTCACCTAGCTTCTTGGGAACTCAAGGTTCTTTTCAGTTGGAAACTTCACTACATACATATATATTGGGAGTTACTGACTCCAACTCTGTATTACAGTGAAAAATGCAGGAACTTCATACCAGCACTATTAAACAGACTGAGATAACATAATATGTATTTCTTTTGCAACACTTCCTTTTGTGCTAACTGAGCACACTTCACTCCACATGCTCATTTCTGAGATATATCTGTTTGTGAAAGCCGTACTTTACCTAGCTTGTTGGAAATACAAGGTTTCTTTTAAGTTTCAAAATCCACTACATTTATATATATATAGAAAGGCAATAACACCAAAACTGTATTTCAGTGAAAACTGCAGGTACTTCATACCAGCACTAAGAAACAGACTGAGAAACCAGAGAATGTGTTTCTACTGCCACACTTTCTTTTTTGCTTAATGAACCAATTTCTCTGAACCTGTTCAGATTGAGATATATCTGTGTGTGAAAGCTGTACTTTACTTAGCTTGTTGGGAAAACAAAGTTTCTTTTTAGTATCAAAATACACTACATATTTATGTATGGAATGGTAGTTACTCCAACAAGGTTTTACAGTTTAAACTGCAGGAACTTCATATCGGCACTTGAAAACTGACTGAGAAAACAAAGAAATTGATTCCCTGGAAACCCGTTCCCTTTGTGCTCTTTGAACATACATCTCTCCAAATGCCCAGTGCTGAGAGTTAACTGTATGTGAAAGGCTTCCTTCACCTAGCTTCTTGGGAACATAAGGTTCGATTCAGATGGAAAATTCACTACATAAATATATATTGGTAGTTACTGACTCCAACTTAGTATTAGAGTGAAAACTGCAGGAACTTCATACCGGAACTAGGCAACAGACTGAGAAACCAGAGTATGAGTTTCTCCTGCAACACTCTCTTTTGTGCTAAATGAACAGACTTTTCTCCAAATGCTCAGTTCTGAGATATAACTGTGTGTGAAAGCCATTCTTTACCTAGCTTTTTGGGAACACAAAGTTGCTTTCAAGTTTCAAAATCCACTACATAAATATATATAGAAATATAGTAAGTCGAACATGGCTTTTCAGTGAAAAGTGCAGGAAATTCAAACTGGTACTAGGAAATGGACTGAGAAACCAGAGATGTTATTTTCCCTGTAATCTTGTTCCCTTTGTGCACTATGAACAAACGTCTCTACACATGCTCAGTGCTGAGGGTTAAGTGTGTGTGAAAGCCGACCTTCACCTTGCTTGTTGGGAACACAAGGTTTTTATCAGTTTGAAACTTCATTACATACATATATATGGGGAGTTTCTGACTCCAACTGTGTATTACAGTGAAAAGTGCAGGAACTTCATACAGGCACTAGGAAACAGACCGAGAAACCAGAGTACGTTTCTCCTGCAACACTTTCTTTTGTGCTAAATGAACAAACCTCTCTCCATATGTTAAGTTCTGAGATATATCTCTGTGTGAAAGCTTTCCTATATTCCGCTTGTTGGGAACACAGAGTTTCTTTTAAATTTCAACTTCCTCTACATATATATATGTATGGAAATGTAATAACTCCAACACGGTTTTATGTGAAAACTGCAGGAACTTCATACTGGCACTATGAAACAGACTGAGAAATGAGAGAAATTGTGTCCCTGGAATTCAGTTCCCATTGTGCTCTATAAATGAAAGTCTCTCCACATGCTCAGTGCTGAGAGTTAAGTGTGTGTGAAAGCTGTCCTCTACCTAGCTTGTTGGGAACACAAGGTTCTTTTCTTTTGGAAACTTCACTACATACATTTTATGGGGAGCTACTGACTCCAACTCTGTATTACAGTGAGAAATGCAGGAACTTCATACCGGCACTAGGAAACAGACTGAGAAACCAGAGTATGTGTTTCTCCTGCTACACTATCTTTTGTGCTAAATGAACAAACTTCTCTCCACATGCTCAGTTCTGAGATATATCTGTGCGTGTAAGCCTTCCTTTACCTAACTTGTTGAGAACACAAAGTTTCTTTTAATTTTCAAAATCCACTCAAGAGAGGCAAGATGGCGGTGTTGAAGGACGTTTGTAAGTCACCCTCTCCCACAAATACACCAAGACTCACATCTACAGACCCACTCAGCCAACAAGAGCACCTGTGGAACTCCATCAGATCATCGCCCTCTTCAAAAGATAAAGACGCCAAAAATCTGGTAGGATAAAAGGAAAAAAGGAAGAAAAAAGGCAAAGCAGTGCAGGTCGGGTCCCACGGGGAGGGAGCGTCAAAGGAGGAATGGCGCTTGCTCACTGGGTCTCCCCTCTCCAACTAAGAGTTCGGCGGGA